AGTGTTTTATCTCAGAATTCTGACTTTCTTCTCAGAATTATGACTTTAATCTCAGAATTCTGACTTTCTTCTCAGAATTATGACTTTAATCTCAGAATTATGACTTTAATCTCAGAGTTATGACTTTAATCTCAGAATTCTGACTTTTTTCTCAAAATTCTGACTTTAATCCCTATGACTTTTTTCTCAGAATTGGGAGTTTAATCTCAGAATCAAGACTTTTATCTCGTAATTCTGACTTTAATTTCAGAATTCAGACTTTTTTCTTAGAATTCTGACTTTAGTCTCAGAATTCTGACTTTCTTCTCAAAATTATGACTTTAATCTCAGAATTCTGACTTTCTTCTCAGAATTATGACTTTAATCTCATAATTCTGACTTTTTTCTCAAAATTATGACTTTAATCTCTATGACTTTTTTCTCAGAATTGGGATTTTAATCTCAGAATCAAGACTTTTATCTCGTAATTCTGACTTTAATTTCAGAATTCAGACTTTTTTTCTCAAATTCTGAATTTAATCTCATAATTCTGACTTTCTTCTCAGAATTCTGACTTTAATCTCATAATTCTGACATTAATCTTAAAATTCTGGCATTTTTCTCAGAATTCTGACTTTTATCTCATAATTCTGACTTTAATTTCAGAATTCAGACTTTTTTTCTGAAAATTCTGACTTTAATCTCATAATTCTGACTTTCTTCTCAGAATTATGACCTATTCCTCAGAATTATGTCTTTAATCTCAGAATGCTGACCTTTTCTCAGATTTCTTACTTTAATCTCAGAATTCTGACATTAATTTTAAAATTCTGACATTTTCCTCAGAATTCTGACTTTTATCTCTTAATTCTGACTTTTTCTCTCAGAATTCTGACTTTACAGTTTTTTTCGATTGTTTAAGCACGATTTTCAAAACAGGGCCCGTGTTTTCAAAACACCACACACAATTAGCACAACCACACACCCAATTAGCAAAACACTACAGATCCTTTGCATAATTAAACACTCTTGTAAAAACTATACACTTCTGTTTAAAAACCACACTTTGTTACCATATGAAACACACACGTTTCACATTACTATACTCTGTTTGCACGAGTTACACTCTGCTGTGATAAACCTAAAACACTTTTAGCACTTCTACTTCCCTATGATTAGAGTTGGCTACCATCAACAAAGTACAAATATAATGTAAATTCACCAAACACTACACAAGACCAATGTTGCAGACTGAAGAAAGTCAGTTATTTCTCAACACGCCCAAAATGTTGACATGAAGATTCATAACACTGTAACAAAATGTCACTTTACGTATTGTACTGTAAGTTTACTGTAAAAAACAAAACGAAACAAAAACTAGACATTGTCTCTTCGCCTAGCTGGATCTGGCCAGAGAATTTCATCAACATCGCAGGCAATGTTGTCATTAGCAAGACACCTGGGAAAGAAACGTCTTGAATGATGAATCCATCCGTGCAGTGCTGCTACCTCCATCTGGTCACAGGCCTCCTCCATGGCTTGGATGAGGGGTACCTCAGCCTGGAGACGGAGATCATATACCTTCCACCGCCACGCCGAGAAAAACTCTTCTATAGGGTTGAGAAATGGAGAGTATGGTGGAAGATATAGGACGGTGAAATGTGGCTTCTGAACCAGAGCAGAGCGGTGGAAAGACACATTGTCCCAGACAACAATGTATTGCATATGATCGATTTGATTTGCTGCTGTTATGTTGTGCAATTGGTCCAAGAATGTAAGTATGAGTGCTGTGTTGTAAGGGCCCATATGGGCATGGCGGTGGAGGAACCTATTCTGTGTAATGGCTGCACAGAGTGTTATATTACCCCCACGTTGCCCTGGGACATTGACTATAGCTCTGTGGCTAATGATGTTTCTTCCCCTCCTTCATGTTCTCGTCGTTCCTGACCCTCAATCCTATGTAGAAAAAAGAACAGTAAACAATAGAACAGTAATTTCACAGGAAAAGGTAACAGAAGTGCTGATAGTGCATAGAATACAGTACTGTAAGCAGTTGCTGAAACCGTGCAGATGTTTTTGATATGATGATATTTTTACCCATTTTCCAGTTGAAATGTTCTTATCACACTTGCCACTGTGTATCGGATAAGATTTGGCTGTATTCGCAGTCCAGCCTCCCTCAGCGTCAGGCCGTGGTTGACAACGTGGTCAACCAGTGTTGCGCGGATCTCATTTGTCAGATTCGGTCCTCTTTGAGCTTGTTCTTGTCTTCCTCTTCCTCTACCTCCAGCATGGCTTCCATCTCTTCCTCCTCTGTTGATTCCTCTTCCTCCCCTTCCTCCTTGTCCTTCTCCTCCAACTCGTCCTCCACCTCGTCTTACTATTTCTCTGACTCTTTCCATTGTGCTTGAAGACCGATGAACTCACCTGCTGCTTTTTATAGTGCTTATACACCTGATTGGTGTGTCTACAATTAAGCAAACAAGTGTTTGCACACCTGATGACTGTTTTGAATCAATTGGTTGGAAGGTGTTGTAATTTGACAGTCAGTGCTTTGGTATTGCAAGGAAGTGACTTCATAATAGATTTTTGTGTGTAATGTATGTTAAGTGTGTTTAGTGTTTTGCAAATCACTGTGTGTAGAGTTTTGCGACAATAGTGAGGTTGACAATGTGCTTATAGTTGTGCAAATATGGGCTGATGTTTTGCTTCTTGAGTGTTTTGCTAATAGTGTACTACTTTTAACTTTAGTGTGTAAGCAATCCAAAAAACTGTAATCCCAGATATCTGACTTTTATCTCAGAATTCTGTGTTTTTCTCAGAATTCTGACCTTAATCTCAGCATTCTGACTTTAATCTCAGAATTCTGACCTTTTTTCTTGGAATTCCGACTTTCATCTCATAATTCTGACTTTTTTCTCATAATTCTGACTGAATTTTGACAGCTAACAAACATGTTAACATCAAGCCATGTCTAGAGACTAAACTAGCTCTCTTGTTTTAATCACCTTCTGCTCTTCCATTAATGTAATAGCATCAGCGGGGACCCCTCAGGCACGTAAAAAGTCGCCTAATTCCATCATTTTCCTCCAAAGTGTTTCTGGCCCTCCCAAACAACTCATCTTTGTTAGTGAAGCTGAGAGCTCCCACATCTCTTTCCTCATGGTGCCCTTTAAGAGTAAGATCCAAAATTCTGAGATTAAAGTCAGCATTCTCAGAAAAAAAAGTCTGAATTCTGAGATTAAAGTCTGAATTCTGGGAAAAAATAAAAAAATATGTTTTTCCCATATTAAACTGAAATATAAAAAATTGTTAACTTTTTTATTTTTATTTTTATTTGGCCCTAATCCTCTTCCATAGAGTTGACTAAATATATTCTAAAATCCGTTATTAATCCAAAAGGGAAATTACATTTTGTAGTAACACATGTTTTATTTATGTTTATTTTTTTATTTTCAAAAAGTTATTTTAGATGTTAGCAGGGAGAATCTTCAATAGACATCACAAGCTTAAAAACCAGTTTGCAAAATAGAACCTTTTAAATCATAATTTAATAATCCAACTTTGGTTAGAAAATCACAATTGTAACCCACAAAATTGAATCCAAGGAATTATCCTGTCATTTACTTAAATATAATTTAATACTTAAATACGGTATATATGTGTTATAAAAATCAAAGGGGTTAAAGTACAGTGAGAAGTGGCCTGAAGACTGTCCATTTAGGTCGTTCTTAATATTACCACTAGATGGCGACAAAGAAAGCTGAACTGCTAATATTTATTGTGGTCATGTACCTTTAACTGAATTTTTCTTGGTTTAATAATACATATTTGTACTTTACTTATGATAAAATATAAAACAAATCTATTATTATGGAAAGACTAATTATTATGAAAAACTTTTTTGATCCAATTTATGGAATTAATGTTTAGAGACCTGAGTGTGGTATTCCAACCATTTTTATGTATTTCTTGTGCTCTTGTTTAAATTCCATATCTACTCCTACTCTAAATGCAATCAATAACAATTATCAGATAGTTAAAGAGAATATTGTATATCTCAACTTTCTCTAAAAATTTATCATTTTTGGGAGAAAACCCAAAATAAGTACACTTCTTAAAAATGTTGTTTCCCTAGAAGGCTTTATTTGCAGTAATTCAGCAAGGAGGGATGCAAGGCATGCAGATACATGTCTAACATTGATAATTAAACCACAATAGATGCATAAAGGGTGCCCAGTCAATACCTTACAACATCCCACCCTTAGAAATCTATAAAAACATTTGCAAAAGAAAGCCTATACAGAGATATAAACTGTGCTCTGTCTGGTCAGGAGGAAGAAATTAAACTTTTTGGCCTGCATTAAAAATTCATTGCTACAATGTAACACAAGGTTGTTTAGATTTTAATTATATGTTATAATTAAATTATAATTTATATGGAGGATACTGAAGTTCATTGGAGTTGATGGAAATATGAATGGAAGTAATGAAGTAGTCCTGCATGAAAGCTTCTTAGAGGCCCCAGAAGATTTATCAGCCGAGGTGAAGGTTGGCCTGGTTCTACTCCGCAACACCAAATATTTCATTCAGTAGCGGTACTTTTTTAAATAGTTCCTATTTATCTCTGATAATACCTACTCCTGAGCAGGTCCAAACGAGCAGCAATGGAAACATTTTTTTAACTGGGAAAGTGGAGAGTGGAGACATAGACCAACTTTATTGTAATTTTGTATACAGTGTATACAAAACGAAATTTTGGTTTGTACAGCTGTCATGATATTTCCAATTCTTAAAGTGCAGCAGTGATCAAACATTGGGAGCAAAAAAAAACATGGTGCAAAAAAAACAAAAAACACATTGATATTGTCAGTTTGATGCAGAGAACATTCAGCTTTTTTTTTTTTTTGTTTCCTGTTTTTCGAATTTTTTTCATTTTTCTTCAACTTCCAGCTGTGTCCACAAAAATAGGCATAAGAAAAGTTTGCAAATTAGAACCTGTACACCATCATCTAATAATTCACATTTGCTTAGAAGGTCACAAAAGTAACCCTCAAAATGTAATCCAAAGAATTACCCTGTCATTTACTTTAATGCAGCGACTGTGATATGATTTACAGTTCTTTCAACATTCAGCTTTTTTTTTTATCTCTTTTTTTCTTTTCTTTTTTTCAACATCCAGCTGTCTGATGGCAGAGGGGAGGAAGCTGTTTCAGAATCTGCTGGACCTGCATTGAATGCTGCGAAGCCTCTTCCCAGAGGGCAGCAGGGCGAACAGTCCATGCTGGGGGGGGTGAGGGGTCATTTATAATGACCCCAACCAGACCAAGTGGAACCAGGGGGAAAGCGCTATTTGAGCTACAGCCAAAACAGCAATTAAATGCATTTAAACATATTTATTTGAAAGAATGACCCAGATAAATTTTATATCAACTCAAATTCAGAATTTGTGAGAGGGTTTGAAAGCTGAAGGAGAGACACACCGATACATCGGCCAACTGATATTAGCATTTATTATTTATGTATTTCTGCATATGTACACCATCAAGTAAAGCACACACATATATCCCTCCATTTCATATCTATTGTTAAAGTTTAGTTTATAAATTTTTCTTTTTTGTTTAGATTGAGACTGGTATAACAGTCGTTATCATTGTGTCTTTTTTTATCGTGTAAATTCAAGGACAAAAAGCAAAATCGGCTTCAAAATGCCCCCTCTATTATTTTGACATCAAAATACCTGTAAAAGCTGATCTCTAAACTGATGCTGACATTATCTTCCCTACTGACTGATTTTAGGTTGTTCTGCAAAGAAGAATAAACAAAAGATTTAATATCTACACTGTAGCTGTAATTGCTGAAAAAGTTTTTACACACTTTTTACATTTTCAGCCATTAAACCAGGTGTTATTGCCCCTCTATTTCATAATAATTTTGCGCTATTTTCTGATTAAATTATAAGTTGATGATAAATACATAAATACATTTGCACAACTATTCGTGTGGATCAAAGAACAAATAGGGGAGTTTTAATCAATATTAGTTCACAGTAAGTTTACTGTGTATGTGATATGATTAAGCATAAGGCTGAATGTAGCTTAACTTAAATCCTCAAAGTAGAATCCAGTTTAATCTTATTACATAAAGCCCAGGGATGATATAATATTACCCCTTAATAGACTTCATGCACTCAATGAACTATAGGCAGTTTGACATGTCTCACATGTGAGTTTCACAGCTGGAATGCAGAGATCAGCTGTTAAACACAGGAGTGAAGCATTTTAGCATAGATGTATAAAGATAGATGCTGAATAACGTCCGCCCTTTGCAGCAATGTTGCTGCCATGTTGTGAGTGGCATTTCTGATGAGGCACAAAAATTTGTTTTTTTGTTGTTTTCTTTTAAAACCAGAGGTTTAAGTTTAGTTTTTTTTTTCTTTTCTATTCTCTGTTTTGATACTTTGAGGCATTTGCAGGACAGGGTTCTTCTATTTTTGTTACAAAATAATTTCAATGTCTGAATTTCTTTCTTTTTTTTTTTTCAATTCAAGTTAAGATTTCCTGTTCATTTCTGCAGTAATTTTAGTTATATAACCACTGTGTCTGAGAATAACAACAACAGAGACGTGAAGCTGAACTTTAGGGCTTTGTGGCTTAGTTGGTCAAAGTGCATGTCTAGTACACAGAAGCTCCTGGTTTCTTGTGACATCATAATGACAAAAAATTAAAAATAAAAATAAATGAATAAATAAATTAAAAGGTAGTGGGTTCAGACAGCATTTAGAAACCTCTCTGCATTTCTCCAGAACTTTAGTGTTCTTCCACAAGTTTTCAATTGAATTAGTTTTCAAAGACTGGACTCCATACGATTTATCTTGCTACACCCTTTTATTTTGTAAATTTATATTTTTTGCTTGAAACTCCCCTTCCTTGAGTATTTCCTCTTCAGTATAAGGTAATATGACCTCTTTAAATATTTTATTTGTACTGATCTATTATCCATCATTATTCTATAAATAGGCCCAACATTAAACCTTAAGAAACGCGATACAATTACACATGTGCTAAAATGTCACTTGAATAAGGGGTTTGGTTGTTGTACCAATGTAAGAACGGTATTATGCTTATTTATACAAAAAATTGTATAATCATGTTCTTCTTCTCATGGAAATGTGAGTTCTATTTTGATTAGGCATTAACTTTTGTCTCAAATATATTTTATTGCCCTACAACGAATAAATATTATATCAGATGAAATATGAATTAAAAACCATCCTTTTAATTATTTTGTTATTTTCTGTTTTTTTTTTTTTTTTTAACAATCTCCAAACAACGTAGTAACGATTGACAAAGCGCGTTTGCCATACACAACATGGAGGAGGCGCTGACGTATCGTGTCAAAGCCAACGCCGAATCTACTTCCCTTTAATTCTATGTCCCTCTACCACACGACGCCTCACAAACACAGTCTTCGCAATTTAATGATTCGTGTTATTATTATAAATATATCATTTTGCATTTTAACGATAACTTCAGAATATTTTTATTCTTGCAAGGTCCTTTTCTTCCACCGCTTTACACTGCAGTTGTCTGTTTCTCGTCGGACGAATATAGGAACGGAAACTAAACAGCCACGTAGTAAAAGGCGAAGCTGACCGAAACGGTGAGTTTTTATTATTATTTACGGACTATGTCATCTTATCATTTGTACCTGGACGTAGTGATATACTTTTATGACGTTGGGTAATCGGTTAAATTAATTACAATATTTAAAAACAGACATTTGCAGTGGTGTCGTTCATATTAGCTAGGAAGTTAGCAACGTTAGCTTCCCTTTGCATACACACCGATGTGTATTTTTTAGCATGCTAACTAGCTTAGCTAAACAGTGCCTGATCTGTCACCTGCCTCTGACCAGTGAATGTTAACATCATGTTAACTAATATTGATAAAATCTTTATATTTATTGTATCAGTTTCCGGTTTTAATCGTGCTGCCTAACATAGATGTACCCGAATTGAAGAGAATAACCTGTCAGCTGTGGGACTGATATTTTTTTTTCCAAGTCAAAGGTTATTAAAGTGATTGGTTGTCTAAATGCTTTGAAACACAAATGAGTTTTGGAGGATATTGTTGCACAATCTACCACATCCTATATCTTGCTTTAAAAAACAAACAAACAGTAAAAGTAGAATATTTGCTAAATACACAAATACACAATAACACAATGTCTGGTTGTCTGTGCGCTGACGTCTTGCTGCAGCCATAAACACTGGAGCCAATTTCCCGAAAGATTTGAATTGAACCATTTTACCATTCTGAATAGAGCTTGAATAACACACGGGGCTGTTGAGAATAATAACATGTTTGCTTGTTTTTGTTTTTTGTCGCAGCTGCTCTTCAGTAATGTGTTTCCTAATTGAAATTGGGGTTTCCACAAACAGCTTTAATCAAAGGAAAAAAATTAAGTTTTGATTCATCTTGATGACAACATGACCTGCAGGAATCTGAAGCATATTGATTTCATATTTGCTCATTTGTGCCTATAATATTTCTCAGCATTTATTATACCCTCTTATAAAAGGTAAACAAAAATGTGCACGTAGCAGTTTGAAATATACCCATAGAGGGAAAACAAACTGAAAAATAGTCTTGATATTTTAGTCGTGTTACCTTTAGTATATTGTGGTAACTTGTGTAAAACTCAGTGGTGTCAAACATACATACATTTGATACTGCAGTTTAAAAATGCTCTGGTAAAAGTTGAAGTATCAACTTGACCTCTTTACTCAAGTAAAAGTGAAGAGGTATGTGCTCCAAAAACTACTTAAAGTATAAAAGTATAAAGTAACCTTTAAGAAAAAGGCCAGATGCCACTATATGAATTAAAAGCTCAATTTTTCGACTGTTTTGAAAAATTCTTTGAGATAGGGCAGATGAGGGATTCTTGTTGGTCTCTGTCTCCATCTCCCAATACGCTCTCACGTGTATCCAACCTTTCAGACATTTCAACATCTTTTCTGAATCCAACATTGTAGCATGGCATAGACAATTCACATTTACAGTTTGAAGAACACCTGTTTGCTTCTGATGATTTCCTTTAGCTAACCAATGAGTGTTTGCGTTATACAACTCATCCAATTACACTAGTTTTCACTAGATGTGGATGGCGCCAATGATCTGCATTGGATGGCGCACATGACGTGAAATAAATATTTATAAACATTAAACTGAAGCCAAGTGTAATGAGTAATGTTTGTTTTAAAAATGTAAGGAATAGAAAGTACAGATACTTGAGTGAAAATGTAATGAGTAGAAGTAAGAAGTAGGAAGAAAAATAAGTAATGGAGTAAAGTATAGATACCTAAAAAGTGTACTTGAGAACAGTAACAAAGTATTTGTACTTTTTAATTTGCTGCTGACACACCTGAATTTCCCCACTATGGGACAATAAGGCATATAATCCAATTTTAATCTCTCTGTTTGTGGATGTTAAATATGAAGAGATTAAACTAGACCGAAAAATTAAAACTTGACTCCATTCCCACAAAAGCAACTTAATAGTAATATAGATTATTTTAATTAAACAGTTATAGTCTGTATCACTTCCATCAAGCATGGTTTTCTTTGTGTTTATTGTGAGTTTGTCTTGCTTTTCTTATTTATTCAGATTTTAGCATCAGCTACTATGTTTATTGTGATTGATATGAAAAGTGAAACTAATTCGGTTGTCTACATTTTACTTCTGCACATGAACACATGCAGACAAAGCAAGAATCAGCCAAACATGAATCTAAAGGTTTCTACAAAGATTTAATTACTTGGATATCTGGCTGACAGAATACATAAATACATCGAGCTTTCCTTGCATCACTATGACTCCTGCTGGGTTTCCAGACTCATACTTAGGAATTCGGGAGATCACATTTGTACAATTTGTTTGAAAATGTCAGAAATAAAAAAGGTTTAAAAAAAAAAAAAATCACATTTTGGTGTAAAACTATAAGTTTAAGTTATTGATTTAAATACGTATTTGACACAGCCCTACTTCAAATCTAAGATTATTTTAAGGGTACACACTTAATTTTTTTAACAGTAGCCACTAGTTTATCCTTAAAGTCGGCTGTGTTGTTATGTAACACCGGAGATGACTGCAAAGTATTGCTGGTAAGACGCTGCATGATGACTGGTCTATTGATTTTCATTATTTTCTCTCTGCAGTGATCTCGGATTGAAGTCCTCCCTGGCACAGACATGTTCCTGGGTAGTCTCGGTCCCCAGGCGATGGTTTAAATAAGACTTTCTTTGCAATAAAGCACCAGCAGTACTGTGACTGTTACTCCTCTCACTGGACTGTAGCCAATCATTGGAGGTTGTTGAGATGGAGGAAAATCAAGAAGAGCAAGTTATAGGATGCAAAAAGGAGGAGGATTCCACTGTGGAATGTAAGGCTTTAAAAAAAGGGCTGGAGAACTTCCAAATAACAAAGGATATTCAAAATGGTGAGTGCTGTACAGATTGGGTAAGGCTTTTTTTATTGTGATTCTTTGAATGAATATTATGTGCAAAAAGCAACCCCTCAGTGCCTTGTCAGTGACAGGAGGAAGGTCACTGGTCTTCTAAATCTGGATCTGCATGGGACTCCTCCTCACCCTATCAGGTTTACCTTGTTTAGTTTTAACTGCGATTTGTTCTGCAGATCCTTTTCTTTAGGCTTGTTGCTGCTAGTTTCTTTCTCCAAAGCTGGTTTTCTAGCATGCATGAGCTGTTTGGATGATTGCTGCCAAGGCTGAGCATTTGCTGCTCCATACAGTTCTTTGAACTAACATGCTAAATAGCTGAACAGAAGTCTGGTTAGTCATCATCAAAAAAGAGGGCAGCTATGTTGATGTTCTACACAAAACAAGATTTGAAAGAAAATGATTTTTTCTTTAAGCTTTGGATGAATAAGAGATAATTTAGGGCAGAATTAATTTAAAAAAGCAGCTTCTGTTAAACAGTTGGTTTAACAGCTTTGCACAGGATGAGCTGTTTCTCTGAGGCTTTTGCATTTATTTTGATTAAATTAACAGCTGAAACCACCCAACTAAAAACTTAAAATTTTATGATTAATTTGAGTAAAATGATAAAGGGCCTGTGGGATGACTTTCATTTCTGAATGAAGTGTTTTGCTAGTAGGCATAGATCACAATGAACATTAAAGGTATAGTGGAGGATGTTCTTTTTCCAGGTGGATCATCAAAATAAGTGGTCCTCCTAATTGTCAATCATTCTGGTTATATGTTTACATAAGGCCGTCCTACATGCTCATCCCCATTTTCACTACAGGTGGTGAGGCTGACATAGTGAAAAAATAGCAAATCTTCTTTTGGAAAAAACTTTTATGAGCGATGCAAACAGCAACTTTTAAACAGAGCGTGCATCAGGAGAAATGGGCTTGTGCACACTATCGCACGCTTATAATAGGTGTTCCCTTTCGGATACAGGGTTGTGCATCTGTTTTTTTTTTTTTTTAAGTGGAGAGGGTGGGTCTTTTATAAAACTTGGGAAAATCCTCCACTATACCTTAAGTTTGGTTTTGTGCAAAATACAAACTAAAACAACAAGACCTTCATTAACTAAGGAATTATAAAATTTTATTTTTATTTTCAATATTGTTGCAAGTAAATGACAGGTTTTATAAATAGAAATCGGAAAAAAGATGTAATCCAGAAAAGAAACTTTGAAAAACGTAATTTAAAATAAAGGTTTTTAAAGTAACTTTGCTGTTTTCTTGGTTTTTAAATTACAAATTTTTTCATTTTCAAAAATTTGCGACAAATCCTCCATTATATCTTTAAATTGGGAGGATGACATTCTGCTTGATCCACTATATTGGAGGTCTTCAACAGGGGGTCCACGGAGGTGCTGCATGCGGGTTGCGAAAGTTAATTTTTTATATTACCCCCTGCAATTTTTTCCGCTAATTGAAATGTCTTTAAATCCACATTAACATGAATTCAACACACTGTAGTAAACAGATCAATGGAGGCAGAAGATGTCTTTCAGTCATCAATGCTCACGTTCAGCGACACACAGGAACTCTATCAAGCTGGACACCGTTTCATTCACACCACCTGTCCCATCAACCAGGAATCAGAACCAGAAATGCTTTAATAATCCCCCTCACAGGGTGAAATTACTTTATATGACTCCATCTGTAATAGAGTGACTATAGGACTAGTTTGATATAACACAATAATATAATATATATAATTAGAGGGTCCCCGCTCCATCTCGCCATCAGTTCAGGGGTCCTTGGCCTGGAAAACGTTGAACTAAACTATGCACTATATATTTTTGGTTTTTTTTATTACTTATTATTATTATTACTTGTTTAAAATACTTTTCTTGGCAAAAACATAAACCTGTCTTATGGTTGACCTGCCCTGGGTGTATCAATAAGGCATCCAGTCATTATCTGAGCCAACACACTCTTTGAAATCAACCGTACTCTATAGCTCTCTATCTGGTCTTCTAGAATCTTTCTGTCAGCTGAACAGTCGCTGCAATGAGGCTCCATCTGACTGCCTGAATATCCAGCAAAACTCATGTCATTTCAACTACAATAGGAAACAATTGATGCATTCTGGATGTGTTTTATTGTATTATTAATCACACAGCAGTCCTTCCTCTGGATTCCAACCTCCATTAATGAGATATTAATCAATGTATTATTTTAACAGTCATTTGTGACTTTGCATTCCTGAATCAACCCTTTTAAATAAAGGAGTGGTTCAAATAGCTTAACCCTTAAAAAAGTCCTAACAATTAAAAGCGTCAGTCATGCATAAGCAAGAGTTTATTTATGATGTAACCATTTATTGCCTGAAGGAGCAAATTAGGCTCTTGAAACACAGTTGCTCAGAAGCAATGCAGCCACAGGGAGGCTTTAGTAATCTTAACAGTATGTTTCAGTCATTGTTGATAAAGTTGTAGAGCCAGTTTATCAGGATGATCCCATTCATCTGCTTTGGTTCATATTTTAGGCTTTTTCTTAAGATATGTGTTACGTCCACCAAGGGCACAACATATTTGAGGACACGAGACAAAAGATGAGGGTTCAAAAAAGTTTTATTTATCAATTCTCTCCGATTTAGCTTTTCTTGGTTCGGCTTCTTCAGATTTTCTGCGGAGAGAAAAAGAATTAAAGGCCCTCAAATCCCGTGCCCCAAAAGTAAAAATAGAAACCCAAAGTAACAACAGAAAGTTGGACCTGGCAGGCCGATCAAACAGAATAAAACGGTACAGCAGGGGGCCAACCCTATACNAAAAAGTAAGAAACAGTTAACAAAAATACCGCATGGCAGGCTGGAACGTCCGCTGCAGGCCGCAGCGACAAGACAAGTGCGCACCGCGCACGATGGAACGAATGGAAAGGTGGAAAGCGGCGTCCAAACGAAGTTGGAAAGGAACGCACCAACGTGCTGAAAGCCAGCCTATTTATAGGCGGACGACAGCACCACAAATTAACATAATTAACTCGCTAAAAGAATCCCAAAATATATTAACAAAAGATCCTTCAACTAAAATCTGTAAGAAAACAAAGAAAAGAAATAGACAAAAATCATAATGTGCCCGAAGCACATAACAATATGTTAAAAGACAAACATTAGTTTTGGTCCTCTAAGGACGCTCTTTTTATTTAATCTTTACAAGTATTTTTCATTTCTATGTTTGTCTTCAAAACAAAATGTCATCATGGTCCCATATTACCAATAAGAATCTTGTGGATCCCCCAGAAATGAAGCCCAGGAGAGTGAGATTGGATAAATGTTCACTGATTAAAAAAGAAATACCTTTAGGGGCTCAAATATCACTGCTCAAAAAAGTACAGGGAACACTCAAATAAGACATCCTAGATTTGAATGGATGAAATACTCTCATTGAATACTTTGTTCTTTACAAAGATTAATGTGCTGACTGCAAAATCACACAAAAAACATAAATGGAAATCAAACGTATTAACCAATGGAGGCCTGGATTTGGAGTCACATACAAATTAAAGTAGAAAAGCCCACTACACTCTGATCCAACTTTGATGTAATGTCCTTACAACAGGTCAAATTTAGGCTCAGTATTGTGTGTGACTTCCATGTCCCTGTATGACCTCCCTACAATGCCTGGGATGGTCCTGATGAGGTAGTGGCTGGTCACTTAAGGGACCTCCTTCCAGACCTGGATTCAAGCATATGCCAACTCCTGGGCAGTCTGTGATGCAATGTGATGTTGGTGGATGGATTGTGACAGGATGTTATCTCTACATGATGCTACCACTTTTGAGCACATAAAGGGCTGTGCCACCTCACACCATTATTGACCCACTACCAAACCGGTCATGCTGAAGGATGTTGCAGGCAGTTAAATCGCTCTCCATTGGTCTCCAGACTCTGTCACGTCTGTCTCATGTGCTCAGTGTGAACCTGCTTTCATCTGTAATTAGCTCAGGGCGCCAGCGGTGAATTTGCCAATCCTGTTGTTCTCTGGCAAATGCTAAGCATCCTGCACAGTTTTGGGCTGTGAGCACAACCCCCATTTGTGGATTTCGGGCCCTCATACCATCCTCATGGAGTCGTTTTCTAACAGTTTGTGCAGACACATGTAGGTCATTTTTTAGGGCTCTGGCAGTTCTCCTTCTATTCCTACTTGCACAAAGTTGGAGGTAGTGGTCTGCAGGTTTGTTGGCCTCTCCCACACCTCCTAGTGTACTGATCTGTCTCCTCGTTACGCCTCCAACCTCTAGACACTACACTGACAGACAGCATTGACTACCTGAGCCATCTGTGCAGGTTGTAGAGTTGTTTCAGGCTTCTGCGAGTGTGAAGGCACCACCAAGATTCAAAAGTGACCAAAACATCAGCCTGAAAGCACAGTACCAGGAAGTGGCCTGTGGTCCCCACCTGCAGAACCACTCCTTTATTGGTCTGGTCTTTCTAATTGCCAATCATTTCTATTCCATTTCCACAACAGCATTGGAAATTAATTGTCAGTCAGTTTTGCTTCCTAAGTGCACAGTTTGATTTCACGGAAATTTGATTAAGTTGAATTTATATTGTGTTGTTTAATTTTTTGACCAGTGTATTTACATATCACTATCACAATCACATATATTGAAGGACTCTGCAGCGTAAGAGGATTCTGTTCTAGCTAGAAGCTACAGACAATAGAAAAGTAAGTGATGAGATGTAGTAGAAAACATCAAAAAAAGGACAAAAACACCTTTTTCACCAGAAATCAGGGATGTTTTTTTTAAGTCGGATACTATAACATGGCTGGTAAATGGAAGATGAGAAACTGGATCCTTTAGAGCTAAGTAAAAGTGTAAGTTCTGATCTGTGAGGACAATTTGAATAAAAAACGTAGTCGTGATTCTCCTTAGCAGGTTCATTACAAGAGAAACGTCTTTCCTTCTAATTGAAAAACACTTAAAGCAAGATTTTTCTCCTCATCTATTTCAGGTCCTCTCACCTCAGATGTGATGCCAAATGGAAACAGACCAACAGATGGCTTTGGTGCTGCACGAGGCACCCTTCCAAACGGATCTCCTCCACAGAGCAGCAGCTCTCCAATCAACTTGCAGAGCCAAGAGTCCTCCGCAGGTGTGGCTGCTTATCCACCAAAGATGGTAGAGATGGCTGAAGGGTCTAGTTCTGAGGTCACGGTTCACACGGGTGATGCTTTGCAGTCCCTCAAACTCAGTATGCCTATGCAGGAGACCGAACTGTGTAAGCAATAAACATATCTATATGGAGTGAATGCCCCCAACCCTTATATTCCTGTTTTACTCCCTTGTTTTTCTTTGGAATGCTTTGGGTTTCGTTGATCCATTTGGGACTCTGTTAAATCAATAAGTCTGCTGTCTTTCTACGTTTTAAATCTACAGTTGGTTGCTTGATCAGTTTCTGGTGTGGGTGCTTCGTTTGGAACGCTGTTTGGGCTAATGACTGTTTTGGAACTAATCCCTGTGTTACGTTAACTCCTCTTTGGTGATGTTGCTGTTGTTTGTAATATGGGTAAGCATGAAGCGGCTCAGTCTATAACTTCTACTGGGAAATAACAGCATGAATCTACTTATTGTTTTCCATGCAGGGTTCCTACACTCCATTTCCATTTTAATCACTGTGCTAATATTTGTTGTTTTAGTGTAGCTAAAGTTTGCAATTTGTGATATGAATTTCCAGACTTTATATAGTCTCAGCTTTTTTTTTTTTTTTTAGTTCTTACAAACACAGAGCTTTTATTTCCCATTCATAAAAAGCAGAGTTTTACTTTGCACCATGAACCTAACTTGGCTTTAAAATTTAGAATTAAAAAAGATAATTTCTAATGTTTTGAACAATTGTAGTTGCAAACCCACTTTGAGCATATTACTGCCAGCTAAAGGGATAAACTTAGCTACTGACATCCATTCATCTTCTCCCCCTTAGTCCTTGTTGGGGTCGCGATGTGGCAGGTGCCGCATCTCCGGCAGTCTTCGGGCGGGAGGCGGGGTACACCCTGGACAGGGCGCCAGTCTGTCGCAGGGCAACAAAAAGACACACAACCATGCACACCTAAGGACAATTTAGAGACTAAATGATCGTCATATTTTTCGACTGTGGGAGGAAGCCGGAGTACCCGGAGAGAACCCACACATGCACAGGGAGAACATGCAAACTCCATGCAGAAAGATCCCAAGAAGCTTCTTG